TACAGGTTTGCTGACAGTTTTTGTTCTGGTTTATAGCAGGAGACAGCAGGGAATGCAACCCAGCCTGCTGGCACCATAGTGTTAAGTGCGAGAGATAGTAAAGATACTTGTCAGTTGAGTGAACAGAAGAGGCTTGAGTGCATGCAGAAATAACACTGCCTGAGGAAAGAATTAGTAGTTTTACTTAATGATTTTCCAGCAAGAAGGACACCTCTATTACCTGAGACATTTTATTGCCTTTCCCCCCACTCCTCTGTGTCCTTCTCTTTATCCCTTTAACTAGAGAACTGATTTCATGGAACTTCACTTCTCCTAAAACTCCTTATACAAGGGCTTCTCTACAACTTCCATGACAGAAAAGGTCTCCAGATTAATAAAAAAGCAGCAGTGCCTTTAACTTTTGACAAAGACCATTGGATACAAGCTTGTTTAGACCAAGTAGTTGGTGCTGAGGGGCAGGAGTGGTAGGCACAGATGGCAACATTGCAATCATAAAATCAGAGAAAAATTTTGGTTGGAAGTGATCTCTGGGGTCTCTCTCGTACAACACCTTGTTCAAAACAGCTCTAGTTAGATCAGGCTCCTCAGGGTAGTGTCCAGCTTAGACTTGAAAATCTACAAGGAAAGAGGTGCTGCAGCCCTCACTCAGTTCATGGTGCAGTGTTTATGTGCCCTACTAGTAAAAAACCACTTTTCCTTGATATCTATTTGGAAATTATTATGTTCCACCTTATGTTCATCACCTCTCAGCCTATTGTTGTGCATCAACCTATTGCTGTGCACCAGCAAGAAGAGGTTGGCTCCACTCCATCAATATCCTTGGATCAGGTAATAAGGCCTCTTCAAGACCTCCCACTTCATCTTTAGGCTACACAAGCACAGCTTGTTCAGCCTCTCCTTGTCCATACACCTTATCTTGCTTATCCTTTGCTTGTCTTGGTCCAGTTTTACAATGTTTTTTCTGCATTGGGGAGCCCCAAACTGGACACAATACTCCTGATTCAGTCTCATAAGTGCTGCATTGAGGGAAAAGATCACATCCCTCAGCCTGCAGGCTGCTGCCTTGCTAATACAACCCAGAATGTGAAGTGCTGCCTTTGCTGCTAGAGCACAGCTTTGGCTCAAGCTCACCTTGTTGTCCACAGGACCCCAATGTCTCAAGTTCTTGGGCAAAACTGTCTTCTACACAGCCATCCCTCAGACTGTAATGTTGAATAGGGCTACTCCATGCTAGTTGCAAGACTTTGCACTTCTTTTGTTGACCTTCATGAGATCAATATCAGCCCATTTCTCCAGCCTTTTGAGGGCCCATTGCAAACCATTGTCCTCCAGCACATTAAATGCTTCCCCACCCTGCCCGCCCCCTGTCAACTGGGGGTGTTGGCAAACTCACTGAAAGTGCACTTTGCCCCACCATCGGTGTTATAAAGACATTAAACGATACTGGCCTGGACAGTGATCCCTGAGGTATGCTGCTAGTTACTAACTGCCAGCTGGAGAGTACACTAGTCCCAAAACCCATGCAAATGGTTGTACACATCATATAAACTACCTTAAAAGGCAGGTAAGCACTGTAAAAATGGCTTGTTTTTGCCCTGAAGAAAAAAAGTGAAAATTCAAGCTGGACTTGGGAAGACTAGATAAAAGGCTAGTGAATGAACTGTTAAATGAATAATCCCATATGCAACAGATGCACCAAAGCTGAAGGGCTGGTACTGCAGTGAAACTCAGGGAACAGAGCTGAAGAATTTTTGTTCATAGTGGTTGGTAGAGTGTGAGATTTCTTTACTCCAGCCCTTAAAGAAATCTCTCTGTTCAGTTCTATTGGGTTAGGGTTGCTTTGTTGTACTCCCACACTGTTCTCTAGTGTCAACATGAAATATATGAAATTGTTTTGGATCCAAAACTTATGCCTACTGATGGAACTTTAATCTTAGTATATGGTAAAATCTTAATATATGATCTAAATTAGGGTTCTACTTGCTGAAAAAAATCTAAAATAAAATGTCTAAAGTATTATATTAATTATTATTTAACAATTTAAGATTAGGAAATACTTTCAGTCTATAATTTCCCTGCACCTAAAGTTTAAAACCAATAGTTCTGATTTCCAGCATTCTTCTGCTGGCTGAAAAACTGTCCCATTGGTCACTGATGGTATTGCATGTACTTAGCAATGGCTGCAGACTACAAATGGCTCTAAACAACTTAATATCCAATGTGTATTCAAGGTATAAAAGGCTGGGCTGCACTGCTGTCTGCATAAAAGCCCCTGTAGGAGATTTAGACATATGTACATAACAGTTTTGTTGTAACCTTTATAATTTTATTTATTTATACATTACTGAGAAGCTTTCCATCATTTTGCTGTAAGGGTATTATCGTCAAGGTGCTAGTACCAATACACTTTCAACAAATTTATATGATGACTGTTGAGATAAGATGCTCTATCACAAAATGCAATTAGCATGATTGTTCTTAGATGTTAATAGTTAAATGCATTACATCTCTTTTCCTCCCAAAACTCACTTGTTGTAGGGTAGAAAGTGTAGCCACTTATTCTAGACTTACTGTTATTATCTATAATGAACTTGCTTTTCCATGACAATAATGTTAAAACTTAATGTGTAAATATATAATTCAATTATGCTCTGGATTTTCTTCTAATTCAATTTCAGAATAATGCATGCCTCTCTTTAACCCTAATATTTGCAGGACATACCATGAAGCAACCAAGTAACCTTCCCCGATTATAGTCTCTGGATGCCAAAGCCAGATTTATCATAGTCTTGTGGGGTACTGCCACGATTTGTTGACTTTCACCACCAATACAGTGACGTTCTGGCTTCACTCCCAGAAACCAACAAATGACTTAACAGGATGTGCAAAAAATAAATGGGAGATAAGCCACAGCAAATAAGGAAGACAGGGGGATGTGTAGGATTTAAGTTAGAATAAATCTTTGTAAGAAAGATCAATGGAAATCTTATATGCTAATTATACTCTGTCCCAGCCTCCATGAAGCCCTGTTCAGTAACAGTTTCTGTAGTTTCCATCTAAGTTATTTGAACTGACTCGCAGTAAAATTGTTTCGGCCTATTTTGAAGTTTAATTAGCAATGTTGACAAATCTTGTGCACATTTTCCAATATTTATAAAAGTAATTGTTAGAGACAGAGTGCAATGCTATTATAATGAGAAAAAAATAAATTACTACAGCATTCTTCAATACACAAAAGGGGCTACAAGCATGCATGGGATCAGTGGCATAAAGAATGCCCATAAGTGGCCCAGAATACCCATAACTTTTGTGATTTTCCTCTTACAGCCTTCTTCTAACAGACCCATCTCTGATATCAGAAGGAGCAACTGGTAAAGTGGGTCTATCAACTCTCAGTTCTCAAAATAAACAAAATAAATTACCTAAAAGAAGTCCTGTATTTGTGACAGAAACAAGAGAGATTGATTTCTCCAGCTCCTCCTGCTTTATCGCTACCCTCATGACAGAGCTGCTTGGCAGCCTTAAATAGGACATGACATGTTGTCATCTTTCCTCCCCTATCCCTTTCATGTCCTTCAGGGAATCTCCACACAAATGCCTTATTTCAAGGAAATAATTTTTTTCTGCCTCCGGCAATTCTCTTTGCCTTTCTTCTACTCATTGTTATTGTCACTTTTGCTCTTTTCACTGTGCTCAGGCAGTGACATGAGTATTTCCCATTACTACTGAGAAGCTCCTCCAAACACAGGAGAAAAAAAAAAGAAAAAAACCCCAGAGAACAATCATTCCACTTGATGCAATGAATTGTATCACCTATCACAGCTGATGAAAAAACTGTTCTAGAAGACAGAACAATTTCTGTATGTTCCAGATAGTCGTATCTCTGTCTTGCACAGGAGTATTAGGGAGAGGATAAGAGAGCTAAAAGTGACCCAGAAGAGTGTAGCAATAAACAATAGGTGACCTCTTTGACAATCAGGGGCTTGAGATAGTCAGTGTAACCAGGCCTATGACATATGGTGCTCCATGCTCAGTGCTGTCTGCTGTAATAACACTGCCTACACTATGGAAGTTTACCCCAGATATGTCAGTTTTTGCTAGTTATTAACAATGCCAATTCTTTTTTTCTTAGCAAGTTGTAAAATCAGCGACAAAAGACCAGTTAAAAACATGACTCCACTTTCACAGAACACTTGACTGTCATAGACCTGACCAAAAAAATAATGGCTATTCAGTATTCATCTTCTCAAACTCCAAATCTGAGAGACGTCATATGAAAAATACTTCCATTCTGATTAACTCAAGTCTCATAAAAAACAGAAAGCCAGTTGGAATGCTTATTTATAGAGGATCAAAACCTTAAGGATTTGTAAAGTCTTTTTTTTAATTTTTTTTTTTTTTTTAATTTGGATTTGTTATTCTGGGACATTTAAACATGTGCAAACAAAAAAGAAGATTAAAAGTCCAAAGACGCAGTTTCTCACTTTCTGGCTCAGAGGTTATTTTTGATTTAACCCACAGAGTAGATTATACAGTATTTAGGGACACATACCACTTTAAGTCATGCATGCAGTGGTGAAAAAATGAATTTTTTCCCATGGTCTAAAACCTTGTTTTCTGATTTTATGTACTAGTTGACCTAAGATTAGCATATGCTCTATAAAGAAATTTTACTTCTCTATGTGCATCAGTTCAATCAAGACTTTGACTAGGAGTTCTGATTTGTGTCCACATCTTTTTGTCTTGCAAAACAGACATGAACAAAAGCAAAAGCCTTGAGCTATTCCATCTGTAATCTGATTTGTCTGGTGGATCTGATGAACAACTTCTTGCTAGTGGAGAAAAGAAAGGAGATGTCAAAACCATTCTATTACTTGAGTCCTTCTGGAGGTAGGCATTAGCATAATACCAGCTGGTAAAATGTACACAGTCCACACTTCCTTTATCGTTTGCTTGGCTGGGGTTTTGCTTTTTTTGGTTTTGTTTTGTTTCCTTTTTTGTTTTGTTTTTTTTTTTTTTTTTTTTTTAGTATTTCTTAATCTCTTTTGAGTATCAGTGTAGGAACCAACAACACTGAAATACAGCTGAGATACAGCACTGCCTCCAAATATTGGTACACATTTCTGTTGCCAAGATGACAGTACAGGAAGACGACAAATCACAGACAAAAAGGGTCTTGACTGGCAGATGTTAAAAAAAGAAAAGTTTGCAACTACAATATAGTCTACTTTATAATAAAAGGTTCAGATGTGAATTGATCAGTCTAGGTCACATTTAGGAATATTTCTGGTTCTTTGTAAGAGGACCTCTAATATTGCTCTTAGATTTCCTGCTGCAGTGGACAATGATCTGGCATCAGTTATTCCTCACACTGCCTCTTGGTTGGACTATAGGAACCAATATAATTGGATGTAAATCTCCCAGCACTTAGAAAAAACTAAGTTTTTTTTTTTCTAAAACACTGCAGGCATCTCTGAAGAAATGCAGACTACACGTCTAGTGTAACAAGCACAGCAAACATGTTATTAATGTTGACTTTGCAGAGAAATAAAAAATCCAATTGAAGAAGAACCTGGCCTAGAAGATCTGAGATCTGCAGTTATTGTTCTCTGATAGACAGTAACTTTTCTTACTTCAAAACCAAACCTTTTCATTTAAAACCTCTACACTGCAACAACAAAACTGCATAGACTGCACACATTTTGCTTTCTGGAGGAAAGGTGTGTAAGTAGATTTATAAGTAGTGGTCATATTCAATGTAACCACCCACAGAACATCTCAGATTTTGTGATGTCACGTGCAGTATGGAACCTATAAAGAGTGGAGTAGTCATTTAATAGAAGACAGACAAGATGCTTCACTAATGCTATAGAAACTATGGCCTGTGTCTATGCAAACTTTTTGGTAACTGTGGAGTCCAGAAGCAGCTGACATTGGAGATGCATTTTCAGACTGAACCTTGGATTTGTTGAGACCCATGGTTCAGTATAAAAGTCCCTCCAGTAGCCTGCTGACTTTCCAGAGAAATGGTTCAAGTACCTGCTTCCCTTTAGTGCATAGGCTAGTTTGCACTGATTGAAGATACGGTATTTGACCTCCTCTCTTTTTTGCTGCAGTTCTACTTGATCCAAACTTGACATTGACCTTTCAGCAAGAACTAACTCAGCACTGCACACTCTCTTCAAAGCAGAGCATAGCGGGAACCATACTCCAAATCTCATGTGTAAAACTGGAGAATGATAAAAATACAGTGTCTTTTGCAAGCAGGTGAAATAACATCACACAACAGGAATAGTTTCAAGGAGGAGAAGAAATTTAGATTCAGTTCAAATATGGGCTTGAGTCCATCAGTCCCTCAGGCCAGGGATCACCTTACCTGGAATACATCTTAAACCAACTAATGGTTTAAGAATTGAATTTATTGAATTGATAGAAGTAATTAAAAATGTGTATGGAAGATACACAGGTAGATTTAAAATCAATTTATTTAGTTTGATACTCTGCTTGTCTACTATCACTGTTTTTCTCTTTCTAATATTACTATATTTTGACCGGAAAAATTCAGTGCTACCACACTCTTGTTAAGATATTGTATGTTAAGGTACTACATGTCTTCACTGAGGTGAGAAAAAGGTAACCACAGACCAGAAATTATACCATCTGCATGCATCCACTGGGCCAGTCAAGGTGGTGATTCACACTAGCATTCTAGCACTAAGTATGCAATGGAGTGCTGGTTACTGATTGTTCCAGAAAAATGTATCAATTCAAGACTCACAGCATGTATTTCTCATAGGACGTGTTCTAGGGCAATATTAATGCTCTTACTCTTCCCTGATTAAAAAGAAAAATGAAGGAGAAGAAAGGCCAAATCCACTAAACAAATAAATTTGCACATCTAATTTTTAGAGTGTTCAGATGGTGCTTGTGGTTCAGACCCATGTTTTGTAAACAAACACTTTCTGTTCCTACATTGTAACAGTTTTTTGGTGTGAGCAGAGGACTTACAAACAGCAGAAATTACTAATATCACTGTGTATTCTCAGAGCAGTTGAACTGCAGGCTCATTCAAAAATTTAACAGCTTATTTTCAAAATAAATTTTTTTTTGCACTGGACAGCATCACTTATAGAGTAGAAAAGAATGTAAATGTATAGAAATACTGAAATTGGTTTGAGAACTCATGAATAAATTTTGAAAATAGAAATATTAAGCTTAACTCTTAATGACATGGATCAAGATATGGAAGTTTGCTATTTAAAATAAAATTTACTTTGATTCCAGTCAAAGGTAAGGTAGGAAGTAAGTAGAGGTACATATAGACACTAGAAATTGTGAGATTTTAAAAATATAAATTGGTGTGTACATACACATCCATACCATATACAGGGACATGAATTATCACTTTAAAACAATCCTTTGGTTTTTTTGTCTGAAATAATGAGACTGGACCAAAGAGCAAAGCATCTTTTGTGCAGTGGTCAAATGTAGACAGGAGAACCAAACTGCTGCTGCTAAACAAGATTTTTCTAGTGCAATGCTGGTATTTTTGAAAATCACTTCATTGACTACCACTGGACTGAAGCAACATCTTAGCAATGCAAAGTAAAAGACCAAACTTAAATACTAGTGAAACGAACTCACAATATATTCTAGAGTGTAAATTAAAAATACAACCACTCATGCTTGCTTAAATCAGTTTATCAGTCTAGGATTCTATTGATCCTGCTGAAGATAATGTAAAACACATAATGGGCTATTGCTTTGAACGCACTATGCTTTTTAATTTACAATGTCCTAAAATATAAATAACAAACATTACTTCCACATCAATGTTCCCCTGAAGTCTGAACTATTATGCACAAGTTCAGAGGTATGTCATGTGGGATTGGCACACACAGTAAAATAAAGTGAAAATATGACAGAATACAGTTTCCTTAAGTTATACTAACAGTTACTTGGAATTTTCTACCAGGATATTTCATGTTTTATATAAAAACAAATGTAATTTTCATATATTTGTACTTAGCAAATATTACAGATAAATATTAATGGTTTAAATGAGAGTTTTGTAGGGAAATTAATTTCTCTAATCTGCAGAGGAAATACAGCTTAGGAATTGGTTGAGTAAATAAGGTAGTATCCTTGAATTTTTAAGCCCCCTTCTTTCAAGAGTGCACATAATTACTAATGCTGTTTTTTCTCCACCTCCCCATACTTAGTGTATACAATTCTGGGCTCAGAATAAAGAAAAGAGATAAACAAACAATTCTTCTTTCATAGTAAAGCAAAACTTGCTCAGTTACAAAGATATTGGAACAAAAAATATTCATGGTTTTATTTTTTATATATTTTCTTCAATTTATTAATAATCTTTTATATTTATTTATGGCTTTGAGCAAAGACAAAAGAAAAAAATCTAACTCATCCCTGATCATACAGTTATTGTAAGAACCAGATCTATAGTCTTCCCAGCAGCAGTAAGATCCAATCTTTTTTCATTAATACATTTCAACTTGTACAGATGTGAGATTTCATACTTATGGGTTTACTTATGTACAGAGAAAATAGGTCACTTCTGAAACTAGCAATGGACCTTTATATTACAGGAATGTGAGTCATTTGTTTCTTAATCTAAGTATATATACATTCATACATACATATATATATACGTATATAATTTTATACCCTGTACCATTTTTTTTTAATTAACATACAAATCCTAGATATTGTCCACTCTATTACAAAGTCATTAAAAATTATTTATGGTTTCACTGAAAGACCATGTGAATTAATATTTCTTCATAGTGCTTAAAATAAAATAAAAATATATATAAAAATATTTTGCTACTAACCCCATTTCTCCTATTAAATGTAAACCTTAAACAGTTTTCAAGATCAGTACATGATCTTAGTTAACTGACAGAATTTGTTAGCATTAAAATAATATAAGGGGTATTGTACTGATAAATAAATGGTCTTGCAGCGTATCCATAATGTTTGAGACACTTTTTAAACAATCATTTCCCCATTTCCACTCCAGGTCACTTAAATTAATGGCAGCAGCATGTTAGTGGGTTAATTACATAGATTTTTACTGGTGAGTGTGAGTCAGCAAAAAAAAAAGGAAGGTTTTTTAAAAATTTTATTTGATGTACCACTTTAGTAAAAGGTATAACAGGCAGCATGGGCTCAAGCTCTGTTAGCTTTAGTATATTTACTTGGCTCTCAAGTACATCTGGATTCACTGCATTACGTAGTTTTGTGATGTTATTTAATTTTTCCATGCATCGTTAAACTCAGCATTAATGGAAAGAGAACCCCTTTGCATTCACTTCTCTAACATGAATCAGCCTGGTTTTAAGGAACAGAATATATGCTTATACCATATCCATAATGCTGATTTTTAATGAGTTAAATTATGACACATTTAGTTTCAATCTCTATTTAATGTGACAAATCAGGCACAAATGATTACGAATTTTTTTTTTTTTTTCTGGATAAGATAATGTGAAGGTTTGAGCAAACAAAACAAAATGTTCACAAAACAGTATGCTTTAACCCTGCTTTCTGTCACCATTTCCTTTCTGTTTTGAAGACATAAAAAATAATTAATCTCATACCTATGGGCTATGTTTGACACTACATGCCTTAGGATATACTAACCATTTAATTACAATATACACAGAGCAAATCGTGCATTTCCAGACAGACTTGATGCTATATTATATTTATTTTTGTAAATTAACACCACAATCAACTACAAAACTACAGTGAAGACACAGAAAGCACCTGAAAGTCTAAATCAAGCTGTGGTTTACAAATAATCCTTTAAATTAAAAACCTCACTTCTAGACTTAAACCAGAGATTCAAAGTCAGCATTATAGGAATTTTAAGGTAGACACAATTAATGAATGGTTATTATTTTCTAAGATACCATAAAGCCTTTTCCTACTGACCAAACCTATTTTTATCGTCTTTTTTTTTTTTTTTTTTTCCCAAAGCATGCATGGAATATTCTCAGATGCTATTGAGGGCAAGAAGAAGAAAAGTGATGGTATTGGTGAAGTACAAGCGGTTTGCAGGACCAAGCGTACAATTTTGCATAAAACATTGCATGTAAAAGTAACACCATAGGTTTTAAGCCATTGCATTACAATTTAACAGTTGTGTTGCACTTAGCTTTAACAAATTTTAAAACTGTAAATTTTGAAGTGAAAAGCGTAACCTAAATTCCTAAACAAAGACCTTGCAATGGTACACCACACAGCAGCTATTTTTGCTTGGGTCTAAAAAGTTATTTACAATGGCAATATTTAGTCTTTTACTGTAAAAGTCTTTAGCAATGTGAAGATCAAAGTCCACCCAATTTTCTTAAACAACAGAAGGGCTGACATGTCATGAGGTTTCAACCTATCCAGAGGAGTGCTAGTGCCACCCTTTAGACTGCAGGTGTTTGCAATATAACGCTTTTCCAATCTAAATCCCAATGGATGGTGCTAACATACAAAATGTAATGCAAAACAACAACTGAATTCTTCACAAGAAATTAACAACGTATATGCAATAAATGAAATAACAAAGGTTTCAGAATATCACTCAGTCAGTGCTATGTGTTACGTGTTAAATCGATTTTTTTTTTTTAATACTTGTTTGAAGTTTGTTACTGTGTTGACAATTTTCCCATGAAAATAGCAGATCCCCTAGATAGAGAACAGCTCTTAGGCTGATTTTAAAGTCAACACATTAAAAATATTACAGCTAAATTTAATCTTCTTTAATGGTTGAGAGGAAGGAAGACGAATTCAAACAAGTTTTTAAATTCTTTTAATATATATATGTATACATATATATGTATATACATATACATATATAATTTTTACATTCGTTACATAGGGCAAAGCTGTCTAAAGTATTTTTTTCATAGTAGACTGCTGGGGAACATTAGGAAACAGGCTAAAACAGTTCGGGGGATGGTGCTCGGTTTGTTGCAAGTCTGTTGCTCACAGTCACCAGGGATCATAAGTTTGAGGCGAAACGCGGTTTGTCTCCCTCGGGCTCTGTGCTTAAGACTGTGGAAGAATCCCTTTGCAGGGGAGCAGCGGGCGGCGCGGCCCCCCTGTTCGGGGGGATGGCTCCCGATGACATCTGTCGGAAGAGCGAGACCCGCTGCGGGACGGAGGCGCGGCCGGCCGGGGGCACGCCGGGGCCGGGGGCGGGCTGCGGGAGAGAGGCGAGGGACTCGCCCACGGTGGGGTGAGGCCTGGCGATCAGCGTGGAGATCTCGTGGGGCAGCGAGGGCTGCGAGGCCGAGAGCGGCCGCACCTCCCGCGTCAGGTTGGTGTTGTGGAGGGCCTGGGTGCTCTTGTGCACCTCGTTCTTCTGCGCGGCGCCGGGGGGCTGCTGGGACGCTTGCGGCGGCTGCGGCTGCTGCTGCTGCTGCTGCATCAGGGAGAGCTGCGAGGCGGTGGGCGAGGCGTACTGGAAAGTTCGGCCGGCCAGTGGGCTCTGTACGGGCGGGCTGCAGACGGCCGTGGTGTAGGAGCAGGGCGAGAGGATGACGGCAGCCTGCTGGGGCGTCTGCGTGCTGGGCGAGGGCGAGTGCAGGTTGCCGTGGGAGAGGCTGCTGGTGCTGTACACGGGCGGCGACTGCGTCCGGCCCCGCGACGACGAGGCCGAGGTGCTGGAGTTGAGGGCCGGCATCTGCTGCAGGCTCACCGGGGCGATGGTCTGCACCATCTCCCTGTCGTGCTTCACAATCTGCTTCAGGATCTCGTTCTCCTGGTTGTTGAAAACGCCGGTGTTGAGGTCCTTCTGGAACTTTTGCAGGAGGATGGAGTTCTTCTTCCCTTCACAAAGAGGCAGAAAAGTTAGTGATCCTGAGGCAGAGCCCCACCCTGGCTTTGTGTTTCAGCACCTAGCACTGGGTGCTTTGTATTGTAAAAGCCTCGGCAGGCACCGGGTCGCTGAACTAGGGCCCCCGCTCCGCCCCAGCCCGGTGCAGAAGGGGGCTGTGCCACCCCCCGCACTGCCACAGTGGCCCACGCTGGTCACAGCTCCACCAAACCCTCCCCACACCAGCACTGCGGGCTTTTGTAACACCCCTGCACTCAGCTGCAATTTACGGAACAACGGACAGGAAAAGTCACAGTGCTCTGCATCTACATCAGCTTTCTCCCTTCACTGCAAAACCAAATTTTCATTGAGCTGTTACATAACGTATAAAGACATCTGCCATCTAGTACATTCCTGGGAAGTAATAACTAGACATTAGTAACCAGTGACCACCAGTTGACAAAAAATCATCCTTTTAAATGTGAACTCACATGAACTTATGGGTAATGTGACAACCTGCTTGCACAATAGACTGCTGTACACTGCGTCCTAATGTCTGCTTGATGGGTTCAAGTGTCTGCAAGATGTAGACGCTATTCTGTCTGAGTCATCAGATGCACAGGAACACAATGGCACTCAATTGCTCCTTTTTTTTTTTTTTTTGATAAAACACTTCAGATGGGATTGCTACTCCCAAGAGTCGATTGGACTTTACTGCTAATATTATTCAAGCACATATTACTTAGAGTTGGACTACATTTACAGAGAGTCTTGAGAGACAAATTGTAAGAGTTTAATGCCTGGAGTGCTCACAATCTGCAGAATACTAAAATACCTCTATTAAAATTAGAACCCTGTATACCTGTATTTCAATTCTTTTTGGTATATTAAAGAAAAGATGATTTTTTCCAAATCACATCTTCAGTTTAGTACAGGCAACACGGCTCCTTGCAATTTTTTTTGGTTTAATTTTGAAAAAAACTACAAGCATAACTGTATTGATGTGGATAAATCCTTACATTGGAATTTTACTGTGAAGTTGTGAGTTTTTTGCACAGCTGCATTTTAAAACCAGTGTCAATAATGATAATCAGAGTGCAATTCTCCTGACCATGTATTTTGCCTACTCTGTCTTCTTAGGTACAGAATCTTGGGATGCACAATGGCAACTTCACATCCCTGGTTTTGATAATCTGCCATACCTTTCTGCCTTTCACTTGGATGTTGTTGGCCTGCTTTCCTGATTGCAAGCACATCTGAGCAATGCCAGTGTGCAGCCATCAAGGCTAGCAGTGCCCATCTTGTGAGGAACATGAGAGCTCTACTGCAAAGGATTAATTCACTTCAACAAACAAGGGGTTTTTGAGTGCTGAGAGGCTTCAGCTCTTCCCAGCATTATAGATGTCACCTCTAAGCAATTTATTTAGGAAAAAGTCATCTGCAGCTCATGAAACAGCATAAATCCTATCAAGTGCTGAAGGCAGCAAAAGAAATCTATGGCACTAGTAAATAATACTAATGATAATTAAAGTATGAAAAATAATCCTTAGAGGAGTATGAAAACTTTCTAAAAGTTAGTGTTTTTTATTATTTAAAAATGAGATTGCAAAATTTCATATTGGCACACGTGTTATTTATAGATCAACAAAACATTTACTGCAGTAAAACAAAACATGAGAGGGGTTTTCGTTTTTAAGAGAGGGATTTTATCATGCAACTCAAGGAAAAGAAAATGCAGAATGGTTTTAAGTATTAAGCATGTGGAAAAAAATAAATACCTATCCTGTCAAGTCTATCAATTGCCACTGTTTCGAAGGCCCTTCTCATCATGGGATACTCTTCCAGGACCTCATTGAAGTTGTCCACTGAGAGGGAATACAGGCGACAGTATGTGTCTGCTCTTACACTGGCAGTTCGACGGCCTTTGGTCAAAAGGCAGATCTCTGCGGAGAGAAAAATTCAACACACACAGGAAACAAGTTAGTGAACCATGTGAAACTCAAAAGCTAGACATTGACTCAGTGCTAACAAGTAATAATTCAGTACTCAGTAGTATTTTTTCTATTGCAGTTTACACAAGCTTGCAGGGGCAATTCTGAAGGTGTTTGATTCGATTTTTGGTATTCTGAAAAAATAACTCATGTCAGTTAAGGGACCCACCTGTAGGTTTTCTTGGTCTGAACTCTGATTTTATCAAGCCTTTTTAAAACTGCTTCAAGTTATAAGAAATGATCCATCAGCTGTCAAACACAGCTTTCTGACTTTGATTAACTCAAGTGCTGAATTAACCCAAGTGATTATATTGATTTTCTTTTAAATATGCAGCTGCCATAGAGGACCAATGCCTTTAATAATTCACTAGATTTACTAAACTAATGCAATACATGATGTAATGATATTTGAATAAAAGAGCTGTTATAAGAAAAAATACTTCAAGCATGAAAATGCCTTCTGTTTCCTTGGGGTTTGTGTACTAGGTATTTTGGGAGAGCAAACTTAAGACTTCAGACTTCTTTTCTCATTAGGCTAAAAAATGGAATCCATTTGACTAGTCAAGTATCTTTTTCTCTGCAAGTGCCTACAACAGAAATTTGTTATTCTGGAACAGAGGAAACCAAAGCTATATGCAGAGTCCCACGAAACAGCCCCAAACTTGTGATTGCTGATTCTAAAACCCATAGTAACAGGGTTATGCATAAAGACCAAAGTCAGTGTCTGAGGTATATAACAGTGAAACATGGAGTAGAGTATTTATGTATTTAGATTAATTTACATTAAGTACATTTTCAAGCTGGGGAATAAGAATGCACTTAGAAATATCAAGAATTCTTGAGCTCAGGCAGAATGAGAGAGAGTTTCCCTAACCACTTCCAGCAGTCAAGAGCTATGAGTTCATACTTGTTCATATTTAAAAACAAAGTAGGAAACTGTCTTCTACGTTGCTTTTGTGTCCACTGTGTTCTATCTCAATCAAACTATCTCAAGTGTGGAATATCAAATGTTCTTCCCTTACAAGAATAGATAATTCCTCAGACTTCAGTTCTACGAAGTGCCAACAAAGTTCTTTTTTTGTTGTATGTCTAAAGAAATAAATTCTTTATTAATCTAGAATGTAAAGAAGCTTGATTTTTTTTTTTTGGTCTCATACTTCTTGAGGAATTTCCACATACTACCTAACCCTGAAGGCTTAGGGGATAAAATACTTTAATTGCAGTGGATAAATCAAAGGAAATTAACATGGGACCAGTACTAGCACAGAATGTACTTAAACCCCAACAGCTCTGGGGAGAATTTACAGAGACTACTGAGTATTGCAAGCGTTCTTGACCTAAAGTTCCTCACAAAACTGAATGCCCATGCAATAATGACAACTTACTGTAAAGAGACAGCCAGGTATAACAAGAGGTCAGCCCTTTCCTTTTCTAACTCCTAGTTCATCCTGACCTGTTCTTCTTAGACTGAACCCAATGCATTTTAGTTACAAGAGTGAGAAGGACATTTTGCCCAAAGGGAGCAGTTAAACGCAGTGAATGCCTGCTCCATTTCCTAAGACATTCTTCAGATCTCACAAAGAATAAAGTTTTACAATACATGGTTGAATTTAGAGATATCTGGAAAATCTGTGTGACTAATGATCACCTTTTGATTTTCAGCTTTCTTCAATTAAAATTACTGCAAACTGTACTAGAGATATAAGGAGGTATCTTCTGCTATTCTCAACAAATACAAATACTTAGGTTTAAAAAGCATCAAATGCTCCAAACAAAACAAATGTTGTCTGTGGATCCAAATAATTCTGAAGAACCAGGAAAAAAATGGAGAAAGTACAGTTTTCGTCATTAATAATCTTGAGAACTGTATTTGAGATTATTTAAACAAAAAGGATGGGAAGAAGCCATAAGAGACAATGTTAGATTTCATCACAGGACACTGGGGCCATGGAATTAATGGATATTGGTGCAACAAATACCATTGATTTTTTTCCCCTTCTTTCATCTTTTATTATTCTTGTCAAGTAAGGGAAATGGAAAAAGAAGTCACTGAAAACTATGATCTGCAGACTCTGTCAACTCACAACTTCTAGTTGAAGAATATCTGTTTGGAAGGCTCTTAATAACCATAATGGAGTCTACTAGTTAGACAAGACAATAAAGAATGGGTGAGAAAAGATATGAAAAATGTCCCAAGTATCTTAAAGCTGATCAGGGACTGCTACTGTAGAGCCTGTCTGCTCAGGAAACTATGAGAACTTTGCGTTCTCAACCAGTTGAATGGTGCCATTCAAAAGATGAACTACAGTTCTCACAGAAAAAATACCATGTGATGACTGTACTCCATTTCCAGCAATGTTTCTTGACTAATTAGAGTTGTGTTTTAATCACTGATACATCCTCTATATTGCTTTGTTACACGCACCAATAGCATCATTTGTACTGTGGCCATAAGACTAATGTGTTTGTTAATTCTGTGTGCTCCTCTATTAGTTATTTATTTGGAACAGACTCTCAAGCCTAATAAGACATAATATATGAAATCTCTCTTACCTGGATCAGAGATGAAGAACACAGATTATTGAAATGTGTTCCCATCAAACACTTGCATTCATTTAAATAAATGAAAGTATTTGTTTTTCATGAAAAGAATGAAGTAATAAAACTATCCATGATATATTTAAAATTAAGTCTTAGTAGCATCAAGTGCACATGGTGCCCTCAACAATTATGCTTTCCTTGGCATTCAATTGTAAATAGACTAGGAAATGATAACACAAGAGTGTGTAGTGAAATAAAAAGCTCACAGACTATTTTCAGACAGGTTGGACAAACAAGGTTCTCTATTAGAATAAAAATAAATGTCAGTAGTGTATTACTAATATTCCCATCTGCATTTGGCATGGTACCTTGACTTCCTGCTGACACTTTCAGTGTGTCAAATACTTCTATCTTTCCTTTCCAAACAAAAGAATGTCTTTAATTCCAATTAATAATTATGTATTAGGCTACAATGAACCTGTAATTCAATTCTTAATGCAAGTTTTACTTTAATTCTTTAATCTCTTGGACAACTGTTTCCTAGAACATTCTGAAACAAATGTCAATCACTGCCCTAATGAAAAGTGACTATTTGAAAGCACTAAATGATGCTAGAAATATTAATTTTTTTCTTACAGTTCTTACATATTTAATACAAATGTAATTATTTCATCTGTGAAAATCATAATTTGTGCTCTGCTAGGGTCACGTCTTTCCTGAGGAACAATAAAAATCTCAAAAGAATATGGAAAAGGCTCAAATACAATGTACTTTTTTGGTCCTGAGACATTGACTAAAAAGCACAATGATAAAAGGTTAAAGCTAAGCTTGTTCTAAAGGTTATAATTAAAATAATCTGATTACCAGTATATCAGTTGCACACATGCAAGGGATGTGGTTTAGTAGTGGAATTGTTAGTGCTTGGGTTAATGGCTGGACTCAATGACTTTAAATATTGTTTCAATCTAGAGTGATTCTACGATTCTTTGGCAGTATTTCAGCATCAGGTTGATTTTTTGGAACACCATGAATTTCTGAAGAAGCTTACCCATATACACATAAACCAGGAAATGAATAGGTTGTATTTTATTATTGCGTTAATGTGACAGAACACTCTGGATAGGAAATTCTACTTACCTGAAAGACAGCAGTAAGGAATACTGACTTCAGGAACATCTAATGAGTTAAGGTGAATGACACAACCCATAGGATGGATTTTAAAGAAATAGGCTTAATAAGGACCACAGTTTTGGTTCCAACTGAGACCAGGTTCATTGTTCTTGTGGACTGTAGGTGATAATTTTTCCCCTCCCCTGTTGCTATGTGATTCCTGAACACTTTTTTCTTCAAGAAAATAACTTCTGAGAATGTGGAAGAGGTTAATCACTAGCACCCTCTATGATGTCGCATTGCTTTCTTAGCCTTTACTGATGGGAATGTATTGACTGGCCACCCTAGCAACAATTTCCTGTGTCTGTTTTACACTGATGTAGGAAAAATCCTTTTTTACTCTCAGAGGCTGTGCAGTTTATTGGAAAGTGTATAGTTTTCCAGTCACCATCACTTCATTTTACATGTAAATTATACTCCAGATGTAATTACTCAACTTCATATGCCACATTAACACTTGACTAAAGATTAAAATCTTCAAAAATTCAAATATCAGTATAAAGTTGCCTTGCAGACAAAACGTGTCCATCAACAGATAAACTAGTTGATAAAGTAAAGAGTGCAGTAGTTAGCATGCTCATTGAAAGACACCAAACCAGTCCTGTCTCCATGGAACATATTTCTTAGTTTAGGATGGCAAATAGTTAATGTAGAAAATTAATACAATTAATTACTCTGTGCATAGCTTTGTCTTGCAAGGACACAAACACCAAAACTGAAGCACAAGTTCACTTTACTGGGTGCAGAAATAATTTTTTGTAGCAATGAATAAATAAAGTCAATAGTATTTTAGCTATATAGTGCTCTCCCTATTAAAAGCAAGTAAAAATAATTAGCAATTTCTATGCATTTCTGTCTCCTTCCAAAGCTGTAACAGGTTTCCCATCATCTGTCAGATTTAACATTACAGGATCTAATGAGGTGTCCTTCCAGCTGAGGACAGCTGACTGCTGCTTCAGTTCCTCAGCAGGAAACTTGTTTCATCTTGTAGAAGGCATATACGTTGCTGCGCAAACGGGCAAGAAGCTATTCAGACCATCTGGTTACTTAGAGCAGCAGAAGAAAGATGGAAAATTAAAGCAATTCAAAGGATTGGGTCAGTCAGTCTAGTAGACTTGGAAATGCTTTCTGAGAACAGGACAGTGGGTTAGAATATTTTTTTATTTTATAAAAAGCAATGAGTTACTGAACTATCATAGACAAAACTTAAATGTACAAATGTTCTTTCCATCCACCCATCT